CGGCGAAGCTCGCGGCCGCCCCGGCACTGGCAGGGACAGAATGTGCCGGCGCCGGCGCAGCCTTGCAAGGGCCAGGGATTAGCTGCGCGGCTGCTGCCTCCCGGCCTGGGCGCCCGTCCAGCTCCCCGTACAAGCGCTGCCTTCCCTCATCCCAGCTGGGCTGAGCCCTGTGGGGTGCAGCTCACCCCAAAACACCCACCATGGGGGCACCAGGAGCTGGTCTGTTTTCCAGGGGGGTGGGGGGGAGGCGGTCAGTGATGATACCTCTGGATTTTGCCCAAACGGGGATGCCCCGCTCTGTCCCCCCACTTGGGATGGAGTCGATGCGCTGCCCAAATTCAGCATCTTTGCAGCCGGTGGGACACCGGGCTCGCACCGCTCGCACCCCCGGGAGCAGCAAGTCGGCGCTGATGGGTGCTCAGGAGCATGGGGATCTGCTCATCCCCGGGTTACGGGACCCGTGCTGTGCCAGCAGGTCCTGGAGCACCTCGGGGACACGCGCACGGTCCCCGGCAGCACTGGGCCTTGCTTTGGTTTTGCTCCAACCTCCAGTGCTGCAAACAGCCCAGCCTGGCCCCGGCAGCATCTCTGGGGTCACCCTTTGCATGGCAGTGGCAGAGCTCTGCCAGGGCGCCGGGAAGCAGCCGTGCACCCTGACATGCCGGGGCGGCATCGCGGCCGTCCTCCACCCGCTGACTCAGCCGCCTGTTTGCCGGAGCCGCTCCCGCCCACGGAAACCGCAGGCAAAGTCCCTGCATCCCTGCGCCAGGGCTTTCCCCGCCGGCTCAACAGGAATCGCAGCTTTTTCCCGGAGCGGTGGCCGAGCCAGCGAGGGCAGCGAGAGCTTCTGGGCGCAGGGGAAAACTGCGGAGGAACCGGGGCTGATTTATGCCGAAAAACAGGGTCTGGAGCAGCTGGATGGATGTGTTGCATGTGCCACGTGTCCTGCGCCCGGGGTGCATCGTGCCGGTGCGAGCGGGCATCACGGTGCTCACCGAGACACCCCCACAAGCCCTGATGGCGGCGAGCGCTACTGGTGCCGGTGCAGCATTTACCGCAGGGCCGGCTGGTGCCCGGGGC